CCTTGCATGCCGTTAAGCACCATTGCGGTCACTTGAGTCGCCAAACTCCAAAATCGGGTCCGTCTCATTGGCCATCGCCACCTTCGTGAGCATCGTTCGCTCAACCGGCCACTGGTAACTGTTGGACGTCATCTCCTCGATAATTTCCAGCGCCTCATGTGAACTCCGTCCCAAAAGAGCGCCTCGGGCCGAAGCATCTACCATTGCCTTCATGTTTCCACTCAACCCATTGTAGAAGTAGCATATTTGATAATCCTTGGAAAATCCATGTTGTGGGCATCTCCAGAGGAGTTGTGTGAAACGCTCCCAAGCCTCATAAAATGGCTCTCTATCTTGCTGCTTGAACTGGGTGATCTCGGTTTGAAGCCTTAACATCTTGCTTGGCGGAAAAATTTTCAATAGGAATTTTCGGTGCATGTCATCCCATGAAGTGACCGTCCCGGCTCTCAACGAGTTGTACCACATCTTAGCCTTATCTCTCAAAGAAAAAGAGAAGAGACGAAGCTTTATTGCGTCATCCGACACTCCATTAATCCTGATCGTCCTGCATATATCCAAAAATTGCGCAAGATGCGCATTCGGGCCTTCAGTTTCACCTTCCCCAAACTGCTCTTGTTGCACTATTTGAATTAATTCGGGACTCAACTGAAATGTATTGGCTGCTATCCTTGGTCCATGGTCTCCACCAAAGTATTGATTTTTCGGCGGTTGGAAAATTGATCGAATCGGGTTGCCTTGCACTGTTTGGGCCTGTCGCTCGGCCACTTGACGTTGCAACTCCACCAATTTCTCTTCGAGTTGTCTTATAAGTTTCATTTGCTCGGCCATTGTAATCTCGCAAGAAAGAAAGAAAAAAAAATATTAGAAAAGAGAAAAAGAAAAATAAAATTACAAAAAAAGAAAATAAAATAAAAAAAAAATGTCTAAACTAATATCTATTCGCTTTCTTCTAATATCAATTAATTCAACAAACAATCCCCGGCAACGGCTCCAAAAACGTGTTCGCTAATTATTTTTGCTATCCGCAAGTGTACGGCGTAGCTATAGGTAGTGGCGAGCAAGGTCGTATTCCACAGAGATTGTAATTAAATTAATTAAGTACTAAAATAATGACGATTAAATATTACTTAAACTAATGAATGAGATGATGATTTTAAACTATGAAATTAAACTAAGAACTAATTTACCTAAAACAATAAAAATAAATCAAGATATAAAAGATAGATTCTAGGTTCTGCTTTCCTCGGAATTAATTCATGAAATGTTTATATTCATACAAACCTTATTAATTTTACCAATCGTAGAGATAATCGCTAAATTAATTTCAAATTTTCTCTCGAACAAGCAAATCGTAGATATTAATTGTTATCTATCTCCTCTCGGTCTCAAGATGAACAACTAACTCCCATAAGTTCCTAAAATTTTCGTTCTCTCGCAACATTCTATCAACCTCTTGGTCTGTTTAGTCTCCTACGTTATAAATTTCCCAATTCTAGCAATCAATTATCTCCTCTCGGTCTCAAATCAATTACAAATATGCATTCATAGTGGCCATCTACTCACGCAATAAAAATACGCAAAAGAAATTTATAAACGAAAGATAAACCAGAATGAAATAAATAAAAACTAAATAATAAATCAATCCAAGTACTAACAAATCCTAGAATCCAAAATAAATTAGCCTAGAAACATGCTTTTAAAATAAATATAAAATATTGAGTTAGAAAGAAGAAAAGAAAAAGAAAGAACAAGCTTATTCGGCTCCGTCGATCCCTTCTTCCCGGGCTTTCTCCCTCGTCTTGCTCGTGTTTCTACCTTCCAAAGCTCTCCAAAGATCTGAAAATTAGGTCCTCGCCTCTTCAAAACGTGTCCAAGTGTTATATCTATAGTTGGGGTCGAGTCATAGTTGAAATAGGTCGAAAATACAGAAAAAATAGGAAAAACGCGCAAAACGCGTATGAGATGCGCCCAGGGCCACACGACTCGTGTCAAAGGACACACGAGTCGTGTGAAAAAGTCGAGACGTCGACTCGGACCTGTTCTACTCGACACGAGCCGTGTCCGTAGCCACACGACCTGTGTTGGTCTGGAAGTCCAAAAACAACCCGTAATTTGCGTGGCTTTCAGCTTCTGATTGCGTAAAGTTCTCCTCCGGCGTCCCAGATAGCTCCCACGTGATTGGAAGTGCTCCAGATGTTGCGCCGGCGAGTTCTAGCCAGCTCATGTTGTGTGAATTTCCTCCGGCGCGGACAGGGACAAGCTTCTTCTCTTCGGTCACACGATGGCGGCGGTGGATGTCGAGCATGGAGTTTTCCTGTGGCTGGGCGGCGGAGAAATGGCGCGGAAGTCTTCGGTCGAAGCTTTGACAACATCTTCAATGGTGGAAGTGATGGACGTTCATGTGAATTGGAGAAGAAGAAGTCTCTTTGTGAAATTACGATTGTACCCTCACTTAAGTTGCTGTTGGACAATGCTATTTGTGTTGAATTTCTGGAATGTGGGCGGCGTGTTTTTGGCCCAAAATAACAAATAAAATGTTCGCTGATTTACACGTATCCTACACGATATAAGATTAATAGCAAAGGTACGACTAATTACTATAATTTAGCAATCTTACGAAATTAAGGACTTTTATTTGTATTTATGCCACTTTATCTGTTACCATACCTGTAACGATTCTGTTGCGTTTTTTTAGGGATAGTTGATATTAAAAAAAAAACTGAACGTGGAATTAAAGCAATAAAGATTCAGCTATATCGTAACAAAACCTCGACAATTAAGACTGTAAAATTACTTAAAAAATTTAAACTTCACAGCAATAGAAGTGATTACCTCAACAAGTACTGTGATCGATGTTTTATGGTGGCTTACAACTGATCCATACAAGGTAGATAAAAATTTGTTCTTCTGGTATATAATCAGTATATATGATTTATATTGATCGATGCTGCAAAAAAATCGACGTTAATTGTATGCTGTTTTTTTTTAATTTTTTTACAGATGGATTCTCCCATAATGATAATAATTCATCACAGTGGTGAGTGGAATCAAAATGAATACAGTAATTTTCAGGTGTCTGGCGTTTTGGTTCAACAAAAATACTGCTATGACGAGTTGTGCAGCGTGATTATGGAAGAACTTGGAGTTACATCGACAGATTGTAGTTTGGAGTTGAAATACCAACCGAAGGAAGGATATCCACCGATTTGCATAAAAGATGATAGAAGTCTTAAATTCTACGTCGAGTTGAAGTCAAGAGAACAAGACTACACGAAGAACCCTGTATGTGTTGTAGTAAACTCTACATTTGAGGTGGAGAGATCGTACGACAGAGCCATGTCTATTGAAGAAAATACTTTCAACTCAGGTATAGCTCCTTTGAGGTACGCTGCTCTCGATAGTTATGTTGAAAATCCTGAAGAGCCTATGAATTTTATGACGTTTGCACGCAATGTTGCAGAAGATATGGTAAGAGACGCGGCATATACAAAACATAATCTGAACATATACCCGACTGATGATAAAATTATTTCGATTGGTGATCAGTTGACCTCTGACTTGGTTGTTGGTGTTTCTTTCAAGGATAAATCAATTTTGCAGAGGTTTATGAGTGTCCATGCAATTAAGAATCAATATCAGTTTCGGGTGGAAAAGTCGTGTAATAAACAATATTATGTGAAGTGTATGTCTGGCGATTGTACATGGTATGTTAAAGCATCTCGTGTTGGTCATTCTAGCACCTTCAAGATAAGAGAGCTTGGAACCGAACATAAATGTTCTTTTGATGTTCGAACAAGTAGTCAGAGGCAGGCTACTTCTAATGTTGTATGTAATCTTATCAAGTCAAAGTTCATGAACAATAAGACTTCTTATACAGCTGCGAACATCATAGATTACATGCAAATCAGATATGGTATAAACTTGTCGTATCACAAGGCATGGAGATCAAAGCGCAAAGCTATTGATGAAGTTCGGGGAAAGGCTAGTGATTCTTATGATTGTGTTCAACAATATCTTGAGAAGTTACGTGCAGCAAATCCAGGAAGTATACTGAAGTTGTGTGCAACTCTAGATCAGAATTTTTTGTACGTGTTCATGTCTCTTAGTGCATCTGTCAAAGGATGGAAGTATTGTCGTCCGATTGTTGTTGTAGATGGGACATTTCTAGCATCGTCGTATGGAGGAATTTTGTGAACCGCATGCTGTCAAGATGCGAATTTTCACATTCTACCACTTGCATTTTGTGTTATTGATTCGGAAAACAATCAGTCATACTTGTGGTTTTTCAACAAATTACAAACACTGATTGGTGAAAGGGATGGTTTATGCATCGTTTCAGATGGACACGATAGTATAAAGTATGCTGTAGAAAAGGTAAACAGAATTTTTGCTTAAGTATATATCACATATATGTTTGGCGTATGTCATGTTTACAGTACGTTATATGTGAAAAATATATATCGTTTATGTTGCTTATTTTGTGATAAATATTAAATATGATTAATTTATAAAAGTAATTTATGTTAACTATGTGATGATTATATGTCTCGTGCATGGTAATTATTTGAATAGTATATTGACAGTTGTTGTTTATGGACAAAATGAGTTTTTATGTGCATGCGTTGGATAGTATATGAAAGGTAAATACAATTATGTTTTATGCAGGTGATTTATAGAGTATGTAAATGTTAAAGGCATTGTAATTTGGTATATAGACATTTTATGAAAAAATATATTAGCATTTTATATACAGTCTATTTACAGTAAATGTACATGATTTAAACCAAATAATGTTGGCATCTTGAAGACAGTTTTTAGGGAGTTTATGAACCTGCTTTTTTGCAGTTATATATCCAATGTATTTTGGTTAATAGATAGTTTTTTTAGTGTATTTCTCGGTTATGGTGCATATATGTAGCATATATTGCATTCGTATAATATGGATAAAATAAACATTTGTACATGAGTGTTGATGAGATTGTAATGTTATCTATGTATAGGTTTTTCCGAGCGCAGCACACTGCCTTTGCACGTATCATATATCAAACAACATTAAGAAACATTATAAAACAGAAGCGCAAGCGGTAAAGGATTCATTTCACGCAGCAGCAAAGGCCTATACAGTTGAGGAGTATGACATGCACATGTCTGAGATAGAAAAGCTGAATCCGGATGTAATAACGTATCTGGAAAAAATTGGAGTACAGAAGTGGGCAAGAATTCATTGTCCAAAGAATAGGTACTTCACAATGACATCTAATGCTGCTGAAACAGTTAACTCAGTGACAAAGTCAATTCGTGATCTTCCAATAACAACACTATTAGAGGCTTTGAGAGAAATGCAACAGAAGTGGAATGTTGCCAACAGAGAAGAGGCGAAGGCAACGTTTACGACACTTGCTAAGAATCCCCATAACATGTTAGAAAATAACTATAAGGCGGCATCGAGGTTTTCGGTAAGACCTATATACCATACATATCTAGATATTTACTTTATATATACTGCGTATAAAATACTGTAATTTTTTATTTTTTTTTAATGTAGGTTCAGAAGGCAAGTGAAAAGGTTTTCAAGGTGATTGCTGATGGAAAGGCATATATATATAGATACTAAGACTTGCACTTGCAACCGATTCCAAATAGATGAGCTCCCATGCCCACATGCTGTACGCGTGATAAAGTCTTTGCACTTGGATCCAGTCACTTTTTGTTCAATGCACTACCTAACGTCAACAATGATGGCTACATATGATGAAGCAGTCATACCTGTAGAAGGAAGCTCGCATGTTACTAATGGAGTGCACTCGACGCAACGACGAATAAATCCTCCAGATGCTAAAGTTAGGCCAAGACGACCACAAAAGCAAAGATTCAAGTCGGGATGGGAGCATAAGTCGAAGAACAGATGCGGCAGATGTAATGAGAAAGGTCATAATGTGAAAACTTGTAGGAACCCAGTCAAGTAAACTTGTATGGAGGTAACTAAAAATGTATCTGATTGCAATCCCCATCATCTTATAAATAATTTATCTTTTCTGCAAAATTGATTTATTAATATTTAATTAACAAGTTTCTCATATCAAAGCTGAACTAAATTTTTAATTATATATTTAAATATATATATAAAATGTGGATGCAGTTATCAATAACATGATATTTAACAATTTAAATACAGAATAAATGTTGAGCTACATCTGTTTATTATATATATATATATATATATATATATATATACTGAACATAAACAGAGTAAGATATAATTCATAATAGTATACATCCTATAAAATGGTTGGTATTTGAAAATGTTTTATTATAATATGATAATGATGATATCTATATTAAAAAAATCTCAATTATCTGATATGAGTTGCAAAACATGATATGATAGTAAAAAATCAGGTATTTTTACATTTATGCTCAGCACAATCATGAAATAGACTAGACATTTGAACTGGACAAATTTTTGTTATATAAACTACATATACGTTTTATGTAGAAACTATAAATTTTATTTTCAATATGTTAAGGAAAAAAAAGTATTATTAACTACATATACGTTTGATGTAAGAAAATATACATAAATCACATCATTAAGTGATGCATTTAAAATTTAACCAAAAAAAAAGGGAATTGGAAAATTGTTGCAGTAAATAATAAACAAATAATGCAAAAAACATAAATCAAATAAAAAGTCGTACAAAAATCACAAAATACCATCAGTTAAACATAACTACAAAGCAAAAAGTAAATAGTTTGTTTCATGTTCAACCTTGAAAGACTAAAACAACCTTGAAAGATATAATGAGTCTGCCAATGCTCCAAAAAAAATAAAATAGAAATTCCAACAAACATAGTCAAGCTAATAGACTAAAACGGACGTCATCGGGCATTGATCCGGGAGGGTCATCATCACTTTCATAACCATTGATCTGCTTCGTTCTACCGTGTGTGTACAACAAATAAGTGTACCTTTGTCTCTCGATATCAACATTAAACTTCTTCGTAGTTATGTCAACATCGGTTATGAAGTGCTCAGCGTAAGATGCAACGAAAATACCACAATCGCTGCATTTAATAAAGATAAAAAAATATATTACAATCCAAACATCTAACACAAGGTAGCTATAATTTTTAATTTATATTTTCTGGTTGGGTCTACTCACCTCTCCGCTTGCTGTGGGATGTTGGCAGCCATCAAAACCTCGAATGGACTGTTAACGTCTGTTGGTATGCGACCCCCAACATCAGTATTGACATCAGTCCTTTTTTCCGTAAAAATTCACCAAGGCAAGAAAAATTGGAAGCAATCTAACATACGCCTGCACACTTTCTAGAACAATCTCATCAACTTCAATTGACCGGTACGAGTTATAAACCCAAAATTTCATATTGCTGAATGTCAATATATCCAGTATCCAATGACCAATACCACCGACTTCTACGTGCATCGGAAACAAGATGTGATCAACATCAAACCATGACTTTCCACATATAAGTCTATAACCCATAATGTAGTCAGTGATAATATCATGAACACTGCATAGAGTAGTATTGCAGGACTCTGACAGGTATATAGCATATAACGACTTGATGTGTTGGTCAAACATCACATCAGTCGTCGTGTACCTAACCTCAGCACTAGTACCATGCACACCAATCTTCCGCAGGTAGTAGAACAAGACATCCATGTGCTGTTAATGGAATAATATTTCAGAAATAAAAAAAATATAATATTATATATATAATTATGTATATACATATGAACAGAATGAATAATTTAAATATTAGAAATGAAGGAATTTTAATTAGTTAACACTTACGCTGCTATCAAGGAAGCACCCTGACTCGTAAATGGTGCAAAACCAATTTTTATCACATATCACGGCAACATTAAAATCAAACGGTGGTTTCAGAACTTTGGATCTCACACCGTAGCGAATGTACCTGATGAATTCGTTAGTTGAGTCAAAATAATTATAAATATTAATATACGTCACATAAACAAACAATAAAATAATTTAATCAATTATTAAATAGTATGATGTGCCAAATACTGGAAAGATATACTGTTCAAATACGTTTCATAGTTCGTCCGTCGACAAGATACAGTGGCTATCTAAATGTCAATATGAAGTGTTCATATTACGTTCATATGCTGCATATAAACAAAATTGAAACAAACCATAAACTGTGGGGTTCAAGGTTGTGCATATACTGAACAGAAACTATATATAAAATGCAAATAAAGTGTCCAATAAAATGTCTATAATATCAAATCTAATTGACTTTAAAATTTACATTTACTGTACATTACCTGCCCATAAACTGAACATATAATGTTCATATGCTGCATGTACTTAGCAGTTGTACAAAGTTGTACCTAGCCTCCCATAAACTGTTCATATAATCTTCAAAGTTGTACATATACTGAACAAAACTATATATAAACTGCACATAAAGTGTCCAAAAAACTGTCAACAAAAGCAAAGCTAACTGACTTTAAAATTTACGTATACTGTCATAACTTGCCCATAAAACCAATACTATACGTTTTTTACTAATAATGTAAAACAAATAATATTAAAAGACATTATTGACTAAGCAATAAATTATATGTACTGTGCATATACAGTCCATATGAAGTGTTCATATTACGTTCATATGCTGCATATAAACTGTATTGAAACAAACCATAAACTGGGGTTTCATAGTTGTGCATATACTGAACAGAAACTATATATACAAATCCAAATAAAGTGTCCAACAAACTGTCTATAATATCAAAATCTAACTGACTTTAAAATTTACGTGTACTGTACATGACCTGCCCATAATCTGAACATATAATGTTCATATGCTGCATGTACTTTACAGTTGTACAAAGTTGTACATAACCTCCCATAAACTGTTCATATAATGTTCAAAGTTGTACATATAATGAACAAAACTATATACAAAATGCACATAAAGTGTCCAAAAAAATGTCAACAACAGTAAAGCTAACTGACTTTAAAATTTACGTATACTGTACATAACCTGCTCATAAAACCAATACTATATGTTTTTTACTAATAATGTAAAACAAATAATATTAGAAGAAAGTATTGAATAAGAAATAAATTATATTTACTGTACCTATACTGTCCAAATACTATTTGAGAAAAACCAAAAGATAAAACAAAATATAAGTTTTTTGGTTCTCAAATTTCTTTGTTTCGTACCCGTCTTTAAACTTGCGTGCTGTCTTGAGCATACCCGTCAGATACCACTTTATAAAATCGCTTGTCCGCGCAGGTTTTTCCCAGAAATCAACGTCAAACGGACACGATTTTGTTCGCGGAATTCCTTTCCTCACACAACGACGTTTCTTGGGTTTTTCTATTGCCTTTGATGTCCCAATCTGCATGGTTGGTGGGTTTGGTACGAGGACAACGTCGTAGCAAGAAGGTTGTGTTTCGTTTGTCTTTCCAAGTTCTCCAGTTTCCATCTCACGCACAACTTTTGTTATGATATCCTGAAAAAAAAAGAAGAAAAAATAGTTAAATATATGTGTTGTAATGAAAATGGTTGTTTTTTGTATTATTCGAAACAAAATATAAATAAAATTTGACCATTGGATTTTCCTGTGGTGGTTTGTTGTTCAGTTTTGATGGGTCTATGGGTGTGAGACCTAAATCAAAGGGCGGCTGAGAACTAATCAATGCCTTTCCAACATCTGCAACCATCGGGATATCAACTTTGGGGGGTGCAAGATCCTAAAAAATTGATTTAAAAAAAAAATCATTAGAATAATATATAGACCAACATGCGTTGATTGTTTAGTTATAATAAATGTAGTGAACATAATCAACATAATTATTACCGGTTCTTTGCTTTTTGATGCATTCCTCAATTTTTCCTCCGTACTTCGATCAACCTCCTCAAAAAATTGCGTGTTGAGAGGAGAAAATACTTCAAATTGATCAAACATATCTCCGCAAACTGGTGCAGACAGCTCAAGAATCTGATTGAAATTGTGAATTTAAGGTTCTTTCCATATTCAGGAAAACTATATATATATACATATATATAAAAATACATATATATGTTATATACACAACATAAACTATTGTTATTATTAATTTTTTTT